ACACTTAAAGGGATAGTGCACCCAAAAATGAAAATTCAGCCATTATCTACTCACCCATATGCCGAGGGAGGCTCAGGTGAAGTTTTAGAGTCCTCACATCACTTGCGGAGATCCAAGGGGAGAGGAGGTAGCAACACAACTCCACCTAATGGAGGCTGACGGCGATAATTTCTCCTTACTTGAGGGACTTCCATAGTTGCACAGAATCCCTTAAAAGGAGTTGCCGTTAAAGTAGAGTCAGAGATACCTCAAGTTTTTTTCACCTTGCTTTGATATGCTTGTTGGTCTTTTGTGCAACCGTTTTTTTAAGCAAAAGACCAAGACGAGGACAGGCCCATTAAATATTTAAGAGAATATTTTAAGGAAACCTTAATGAGGATTTAAGGAAAATCTTAATTTAAGGTGTTTTGTACAACTAGCCCCAGTATTTCATTGTGTCATGTCCCCGTCAGAGGCCTTTAAAACTCTGGTCTTTAAATCAGACTGTTGTTGTTAAAGTTTGAAATGAAGTCAGCTGTCATGCGATTTATTACCTTTTTTCAACTATGAATTATGACACCAAAGAAAAACTTTGTCAACGTCTGTTTTACCTAATAAGGTCAAGTGTTTTTAGTCTGTTCATCTGACTTAGATAATTTTATTTCCTGCTGCAAAATGTACCTAGTGGACTGAAAAAGCAATTGATTTTATTATTCTAGTAGGCCACCTAAAGTTGAATTTGTATTTGTAATATTAATAATTTATACATTAATTAGTCTATACTTGAACTGTGTGAGGATACAATATTGCCACACAAAAATATCTCGATACCTTCCTGTATCCCCCACACCTAATATATAATAACAGGCTCTGTCAGGGGGGATCGATCAGTGTTTCAGTGTGATCAGTTTACACACTCCTCTGTTATCTGTATGAAACATGAGTGTGTGCTGAGCAGGCCGGATGGTTACAGTTACAGCAGCAGCTCTGCCTCAATGACAGATTGACTCATTACCTGCTGAGGAGACGTGTGTGACACACTGCACACTGGACTGAATGATGACGACTGATGACTGAGTTTAAACTCTGTGATGCTTTAATGATCGTAGACGAACACTGGAGTCGACAGTGAATGAGATGAAACACTGGATGTTATTATTGTGTTGTATTTATAGAACAGACTTAAAGTCTCAGAGTGTTTATGGGTCTCTACCTGCTGACTGTGCATTACCACAGCTAGCCGTGATTGACTTTGCAGTTACGTGGTTTGAGTCTTAGATCACCAGACCATGAGGTCACACTACAATCATCAGTGTGACATCATTAACATTTGCAGCAGAGATTACATTTCCAAACCAGAGGAGAGTATCTAACTCCAGGTGTATCCTCATGAAGCAGCATTTAGAGTTAAAGTCTGTATTACTGAATTCTTATATTTCTCTTAAAACGTCAACTAGTCTCACTACCACCATTAGTACTAGTGTTTAATTAACCGCCATCCAGGTTGTTTGAGGCTCTTTATCCAGATTACTTGAAGCTCTTTTTCCAGGTTGTCTGGAGCTCTTTATCAAATATGGTTGTTTTTTGTCCGGATTGTTTGAGACTCTTTTCTCAGCTTTGAGGCTCTTCATCCAGGTCGTTTGAGGCTCTTTATCCAGGCTGTTCAGGGCTCTTCATGCAGGTTATTTGGGGCTCTTTTTTGGGGGTGTTTGAGGCTCTTTATTTAGGCTGTCGAGGCTCATTATCCAGGTTATTTGGAGCTCTTTATCCAGGTTGTTCAAGGCTCTTTAACAGGAATTTTAAGACCATATCTAGGTAGTTTGAGGTTCATTATCCAGGTTGTTTGGGGCTCTTTATCCAGGTTGTTCATGGCTCTTTAACAGGAATTTTAAGACCATATCTAGGTAGTTTGAGGTTCATTATCCAGGTTGTTTAAGCCTCCTTTCTCGGCTTTGAGACTCTTAATCCAGGCTGCTCAGGGCTCTTCATGCAGGTTATTTGGGGCTCTTTTTTGGGGGGTGTTTGAGGCTCTCCATCCAGGTGTTTGAGGCTTTTTATTCAGGTTGTTCAAGGCTCTATAACAAGAATTTTAAGACCATATCTAGGTAGTTTGAGGTTCATTATCCAGGTTGTTTGGGGCTCTTTATTCAAGTTGTTCATGGCTCTTTATCAGGGTTGTTTGAGGCTCTTTATCTGGGTTGTTTGAGGCTCTTTATCTGGGTTGTCTTAAGCTCTTTTTCCAAGTTGGCTGGAGCTCTCTATTGAGTATGTTCGAGGCTTTTTGTCTGGATTGTTTGAGCTTCTTTTCTCGGATTTGAGGCTCTTTTTGCAGGTTGTTTAGAGCTCTTTATCAAGTATGTTTGAGGCTCTTCATCCTGGCTGTTTGAGACTCTATCTGGATTGTTTGAGGCTCTTTATCTGGGTTGTTTTAAGCTCTTTTTCCAAGTTGTCTGGAGCTCTTTATTGAGAATGTTCTGAGGATTTTTGTCTGGATTGTTTTAGCCTATTTTCTCCGATTTGAGGCTCTTCATCCTGGCTGTTTGAGACTCTATCTGGATTGTTTGAACCTCTTTTCTCTGGTTTGAGTCTCTTTATGCAGGTGATGTGAAACTCTTTATCCAGATGGTTTGAGGCTTATTATTTAGGTTTTCTGAGGCTCTTTATTTGGGTTGTTCAGGGCTCATTATCCAGGTTGTTTAAGGCTCTTCATCCTAGCTGTTTGAGACTCTTTATCTGGATTATTTGAGACTCTTCATTCAAGTTGTTTAGGGCTCTTTATCCAGGTAGTTTGAGGTTCACTGTGGCAGAAGTTCAGGGCAGAACACTTTGTCAGCCCTGTGTGTGAGAGCAGTCTAATCACATTTGGGGCTTGTACATCGACCAGGAAGGAGTCTGTTAATGGAAAAGTGATGTTAGCTGCAGCTTCCTGCTGGCTGTAACACAATCCATTCAGTCCAGGTCTGACTCTGCCTCCAACAAGCAAACTGAAACCATCAATGAAGAAGGAGTGAGAGAAAACTGCAATTCATCTAGAGAAAGAAATCTCAGAAGAAATGTGTATTAATTCAAAACAGATTTTTATTTTAATCTAACACTTGAATTCTTGTATGAAAATAATTCAGTTATCACAGTAATCTGCTAGAATTCAGACTTCATCCACAGAAGAGGAAGTAAAGGGGGAAAGGAAAGACACGAGCAGATGAAAGCTACTTCATCCGGTCGAGTTTCTAGCCTTGGCAGAGTCTCCATATCTGGGTCATTTTAAAATAACTGAGCTCTGGTGACACGTTTGACAGCTGCAGGCGTCCAACAACCTCAGGCTCACTTTTTTTTTAGCTGTTAGTGTTTGGGATGGTTTTATACCAAAACACAGTCAGTACGTTAACGACATCAGAGAAAATTGATTTATTGTGTTAGTCCGACTAAAACTGGACTTTTAAAATCCCTGTAAACATGTTAGTCTGACTGAAATCGTACTAAGTGAATTTCTCACAGTGGGACTAACACACCCAGATCATGTGACTCCTGCATGTATACAGTCAATCAGACCCAAACTGGCCGAGGCGCTCTGAGCATGCTCCACAGTTTCCGCCCCGGGCTTTGACCCGGAAGTCCAATAGCATTAAATGTGTAAGAGAAGAAGAAGCCGGTAACAACATGGAGAAATCTACATCCAGAGCCGTGACTTTTTGGACGGACCAAATGTACAGAGCTGTAAAGTTGTCCACCATGGTAGCAGTTAGCTGCTAGCTAACCGTAGCTAACTTGTTTGTCCATTGTTTGGTCTGTGACGTAATAGGTCAACAGGAAAAAGGTCCAATACTAACAAGCTGAAAGGGGGCATATCTCCACCTATCGTAGAGGAGTCGCACATACTTGGCTCAATAAATGGATTCCCCTCCCGTGCTTGTATACTGGGACAAGGACAGTAGACTTCACTGTCAGTGATGTCATAATGAATGTTTTTGAGTGTCTGAAACTTTCTACTCGTTTGTGATCAAGTTCAACAGATTTAATTTCCTCTTGTTTTCTGTCTGTTCTTAAAGGAAAATTAGTTTATCACAACTGGGTTTAACGTGTATTTCTCCATCCCAAATAGCTCTGACATATTGTGTGTATTAGAATCAAGTCTTATCAATAAATTGTCCATCAATACTTCTCACAGATGTTTGTAGGAATGCACATTAAATCAACATTAACTTATTTATTAATGATCCGATCAGAACTGTGAAATCAGTCATTATACAGTGTAATGTGTGACCCTAAAACTGTGTGTGTGTGTGTGTGTGTGTGTGTGTGTGTTCCCTCAGTGTCTCAGATGGTGATTGAGGAGGTGAGCGTTCTGCAGACTCAGCTGGAGATCGAGAAGTCGTGCCGGGAGAATGCAGAGGCCCTGGCCACAAAGGTCACACACACACACACACACACACACTCAATGATCAATACTATAGGATCAGCAGTGTCGGGGGGGTCCAGCTGGCATTAGCAGGAGAATAGAGAGAGCAGCTGAGTCAGGATGACTCTGCACAGAGACCATGTGACTGTCTGTTACTGACTCCACAGTGAAAGCTGCGTTCTTAAATATTAAAATGTTATAATGTTCAGAGGAAGTTACAACAGGGGCATCATTTATTTTTAATATTTTTAATATATATATAACATTTAGTACACTCGCCAGAAGAAATTTTCCATTGCACGTTTCTGCAAACCTCAGTTACGTTACATTTGTGTGCCTCGTATTGGTCACGATAATGACATCATCGTCTTGTTAAGGTCGGAAAAAATTATGGAGCTCAGGTCCATATATTGTACGATATTGCCTGTTGGGTTTACATGTGTGTTTGTTTGCAAGACTTTCAGCCAACATGACGGCACAATAAACAGCAGGGTTTCAATTTATTAATTTAATTTAAGTTCTTTATTGTCAGTTAACACAAAATAGTGGAAATGTAACTATAGCATATCCTTTGTGTTACACACAACACACACAGTTATGTGTGGGGGTTAGTGCAGGGTCAGCCATAACACGGCGCCCCTGAAGCAGTTTGGGGGTTTGGTGCTTTGCTCAAGCGCACCTTGGCAGTGCCCAGGGGGTGAACTGGCCCCTCTCCAGCTGCCAGCCCACAGTCTATACTTGGTCCCTGCAGGGACCTTCTGGTCCTCAAGCCAGGTCTCCACAGACTACTGCCGCCTGAAAGAGTGCCCGCCCGGTTTCACTAAACCACGAGACTTTGACGCAGCACCTGAACACAATGAACAGAAAAAAGTTAAGAAAGTTAAGAGTATTAACATTGTAGCACAATGCACATTTATATTTATATTTTATTGAATTTGTTTCTTGAGATTTACATACTTTTATTTCAGACTATTTTTCTTACTTATTATAATCCTCTATTCTTTACATTGGAGCAACTGTAACAAATGACAATTTCCCTTCAGGGATCAATGAAGTATTTCTGATTCTGATTCATTACTCTTTATTATGCTCCATATTATCATTATGTCAGTGACATAAAATGATCTTAAAATGACAATATTAATTGTTTTAGCACAATTGTTTTTGGGACCATATATCCTCTAACAGATGCAGTTATTGTGACAGGCCTAGTTTCATACAAATCATATCAATGTTTCTAAAGTGACGTAGTATATGAGTTGACTTTGTCATCAGGAAGGGAGGGGATGGTGGATGTGGTTACACCTGCAAGAGATGTCTGCCAAGCTGCAGACCACTGATCAAAAACAACAAACAAAAAAGGTTGTTTTTTAGTGAGTCATCACTGTTTTTAGCTGCATTTTAGCCATCAAACGTGGTTTTATTTTAGCAACCTGTCACTGTGTTTCCACCGAAGCTTGTGCCAAGTGGTTTTTGTACCTAAACATAACTACATGTTCACCACAGCTTTAGCATATCCGCTACATAATAACGTACTTAACATATCCGCGGTCTGCACAAACGTACACTGCCAACATTTATTCTTGTGGCTGAGTTTATAACATTTTATATTTGTCACAACATCAATGAATATGAAATGTGCTTAATGTTTATTTCAGAGACTCTTTAACATGTGAACACTTTCAGGACCATGAAGCTGTTTGATTTATAGTTTTAATGATGCTGTCGTTGACCCTGTGACCTTTGACTTCCAGCTGAACTGTGAGAACAGGAAGTTGAAGTACCTCAGTCTGTCGTCTCGCCCCTGTTTGGACGAGCTGCTGCCCAGCATCTCAGACTGCATTGCTCTGGAGGCTGACGCAGACGCAGACGCTGCAGACGGAAGTCCTGACACCTTCACACAGTACCAACAACAGGTTAAAGGTACAATACGTATAATTCTGTTCACACAGCACCAACAGCAGGTTAACCCTTTGAACTCTGCAGTAGAAACGGTCCAGTGCATATGTTGGTATTTTTGCTTATTGTGATGTCATTTCTTGGAGTATTTTCAAATGCTTTATGTCCCTAAAATCTCTACAACCTAAACCTAAAGGTATGTTAGTCAGTAAACTGTAATAACTGATGTAAGTATTGAAATAGCATCATCAAAAAAAAAATACAGCAGACATTCTGTTTAACCTGCTTCTCTGCGCTTCTGGCACCTCTGCACGTTTTAGCCATCTTTTGGATTGCTTGTAGCATAATGTAATGATGTCATCACACGCAGGCAACATGATGCCGTGGAAGATAGAAGCCTTAGCTTTCTGCTGCAAAAATAATGAGTGCTCTAGCTATTATACTTTTTATTATAGATTGTTTTTAAACAGGATCACGTAAACAACGATCTCCTGCGGCCACGACAGGGCCTTTATCTGCCTTTATATCCATGCTCTCCATGGGATGAATCCTAATTTCTACAGCCTATATTAGGAAATGTCTGCTTCGAAACATCACAGTTTTATAAAACGTATTTTCCATATACTGTGCTGTAGATACTGATGGTCATGATGATGGACACACCAGAAATATCAGGGTCTAATTGTCACATGTACTGAACACATCAAGGAAAAACGTGGCAGACGCTCTGTTCTCGTGCTGATCATGCAGGATGTAGTCTGTCAGGAATAAACTGTGCCGTTCTGTGCTACTGTGTGTTCTGTCAGAGCTGAGGGAGACGGTGAACACATTACTGGAGGAGAAGAAGAACTTCATGTGTCAGATTCACGAACAGCAGAGACGGATAGAAGAGCTGAGCTCACAGGTGAGGAGGGAGCAGCAGCATCATCAGGGTGCACCTGTGGAGATCTTCATGTCACTTCAGAATATATCACAGCATGTCACACAGGGGTTAATATAGTTTTATGATAAGTTTTCGGCCTGTGACTGAAGACAGGCTGTGAGTTTTAGATGCTGGAGTCTGATTCAGTTGAATTCTTCTTCGCTGTCTGCAGTCGGAGAAAGATCAGGCCGACATGAAGGAGCTCCGTGAAACTGTTGATCAACAAAGTAAAACCATCAAGAGGTTCAACAGAGGTGAGTTACAGCACGCTGCAGAGCCACTGCACCTCACACTGAAGATGAAGTGGAGTTCTGAGGCTGTAAAGTTTAATTAAAGTTAAATACAAAGATGAAAATTAATGAATTAAGAAGACGTTAGTTGAAAATGCTTCGACTTGAATGAACACTGTCGGACTTTATTTCATGAGCATACAGAGACACAACAGGAGCAAACTGACTACATACTGTAGCTCCTGGTCATCCAGCATGCTAATATTAGCATGAAACAAGCTAATGCAGAATGTTAACTGTCAGGTCAACATGCTAACTGTTTGAATCAAATACAGGTTGAATATAAAATATGAGTCTAATCTGTTGTTTTCTGTCTCTCTGTCTGTAGTGTCCATGATGGCGGCTCAGGAGTACGAAGGGATGAAGGACCAGCTCGACTTGGAGCAGAGCCTCAGAGTCAAAGCTGAGACCTACGCACACGAGGTAAAGAGACGATCATGGAAACACGCTTGTTAATCAGCAGCTGTGGCTCTGGAGGTAGCAGGTCATTCAGCGGTCCGATCCTTGTGCTCCTCTAGTCCATGTGTGGAAGCATCCTTGGGCAAATACTGAACCCCAAATTGCTCCTGATAGTTGTGCCATCAGTGTACGAGTGTGTTTAAACTTAGTTGTACAGTAGCCTCGGCCACCTGTGTGTGAGTGGGTGAATGTGACTCTGTAGTGTAAAAGCACTTTTGCAGACACAAGTGCAAGTCCATCCATGCTTCTCTTCCAGGTGTGTGTGGTGATGTGTGGCACAGCAGCCGCTGTAGTGGAATCAATCTGCAGACGCTCCAGTTCAAAATGAGACTAAACTTTTATATGACTGTTCATTTTCTGAGCCATGACGAAGGCTAAAGGCCTGTACTCCAGTTGGGTGCTGCTGTCAGCGATAAACACTGACCTGTATTGTTGTGTTGGTAATTAATGTGCGTGTTAATAACGTGCCTGATGAATGAAACGTCCTGAATGTGGTGTTTACTGACCTGAACAATGAAGAGCCTGCAGGATTCAGTCTGTGTGTGATATGTTGTGTTTGTATATAAAAATGTGGATTTCTCTCTCTTCATTCATCTTTCTCCTCCCCTCCCCCTCCTCCTCCTCCACTCTGTCCTGCAGATGCTGGTGAAGCAGAAGGAGGCCAACAGGCAGAGCATGCTGCTGCTGCAGAATGCTGAGCCCAGCGTTCAGCTCCTCAAAGCTCTGGAGGACGTCGCTGCCATCACCAAAACCCTGGAGGAGGAGCGCCTGCAGCATCAGCAGAAGGTAAACCTGCAGTTTACTGTCAGGAGGAGGTGTGCGTCCTGACGGAGCCGACAGCTGTCATCTCATTTCATCCAGTCTGAGTGACAGGAAGTCACAGTGAAGGACTGAGTCATCAGCAGAGAGGTGTTCCTAAACAACATGATGATTCATCAGGAGTCACCTGGTGATTGACAGTCCAATATTCTCTCTTGAGCCCTTTGACACAGAGATCACGGTATAGAGCCGCTATGAGGTCCCTTCTTTATGTCTCCTGTGTGTTATTTTACACAGAGGCAAACAACAGCTGCCTCATGCTGCTCCCATGTGTTATTTTAGACATGTTGGCATCGCAGAATCCAAAGAGGCATGACGGGTGTGGCATGTAACACAAGGGGAGCCGCAGATTCAGGCGGCTATTTCTTTGGAGGTTCATCATGTGGAGCGACCCCTTTCACCTCGCTTTCCCATGGTCTCATTATTATTATAAGAAGATGACTTAAAGCTGCTTCAAGGTGTGCTCGGACTGTGAAAAGGAGCAGAAAATTTCCTAAACATAATCGGAAATTACAATCGAGTTTGTACTCTGCTACAACGCTGTCATCTAGAATCAGTTAAAATAAAAACAGCAGGTGCATGCGGTAGATAGATGAAGATCCTCCATCACCACCATCGTGTGTGTGTGTGTGTGTGTGTGTGTGTGTAGGTGGAGAGCCTGGAGGCCCAGCTGGAGCAGAGCTGTGTGAAGAAGCAGCTGGAGGCTCTGCAGAGGCAGCTGGAGCTGCTGGAGGTCGCCAAGAAGGAGGTGGATGGACGACTGGAGCAGGCAGAGAAGAAGAACGAGGAGCTGGAGAAAAGAGGTGGGTGGAGGTGGAGGTGGAGGTGGAGACACACACACAGGGTGGAAACAGCAGGTGGAGTTAAACAGCTGATCAGTCTGAATTCTCCTCCAGGTTTTTAAATGGAAGCGTTCACTCAAGTTAGAGCGACAGTGCTGGTAATAATAACAGTGTATTGTCATAGAACAGTTGGTGCGATATTCCACAAATGACGTACGGTCACGTAATAAACGTAAAGTTAGGATGTTAGATTAATGATTCCCAGATTTCTACCAAACCCTTTGATTCAAGCACAGATTGTGAATGAGGCCCGTCAGGAGCAATGATACGGTGAACTGTCACATGCTAATTAACACATGCACTGGTACTCTACAGTCACCAGTGGCTCATGTTGTTTGACCCAGTTTGACGCTCTGATTGAGCCGACTGAACTCTGTAAAGTCTGGAGTCACGCTGCGTTCAAATGAGGTCGTGTTTACCATGTTCACGAGGAGAGTCCATGTGAACGCCCCGTCTGTTGTGGTACTCACAATCTTTTAAGTTTTGTTCACGACTGTCGTAAACGGGTTCACAGGTTCCATTTGAACGCAGCATCAGGTCTGTGGTTCATCGTTAAAGCCCCCTCCACTCAAAAATGAGTTCTTCTTCTGTTTCTGTTCCTTAAATGTGTGAACCGTCTTGTTTTGGAAAGATTTTGGATTTTTTTTGATGTGATAGTCTGAGTGTGAAAGGGAAGGAGAGAGAGAGAGAGAGGATGACATGCAGCAAAGGGCTGCAGGCTGGAGTCTGAACTGTGGCAACTGTGGCAAGGATGCTGCCTTTGTATATGGGACGCCTGTTCTATCCACTAGGCCACAGGTGTCCAAAAATGTCTTAATTTGACTTTACTGACATTCAATTTAGATAGGTCACTGATATGAAAGCCAATCATTGTCTAGTCTGAGTGGGCGGAAGTTCGCTGCATAGGTCAGGCACTCATTGGGCGGACCGAGCCACCCACTGAAGTCCCGCCCTACCACCTCCAGTTGTCATAGTCAACAAAAATCCTTTACTAACTTTTGCGGTGTTTGATCTTGCGGGGATGTAGCCATTTTTCTGCCATGGTTCGCATCCTGTAGGTGATATTTTTGTGGGCGTGTTACACCAAAACCTGTTTCCCCCCGGCAATATTTTTGCAAGCGCTCCGTTGCTGTGGCACCGCCCAGAACGACTGTGATTGCTTGAAAGAAATACAAGCAGCCGGGGCGTTTTTTTCTCCAATCTCAAAGTGAGAGTCATGAGAAAGGTCTGGTGAGCGAGACTAATGGTGCGTTCGTTTTATACTCGGAGGTCGGAAGTGGGAATGACGTCAACTCCAAGTTGACAACAGTTTTTGTATTCTAGTTGACAACGGTGGATAAGTCAGAAAAAAACAGGGACGTCACCGTTCTACCGTTGGGCTAGCCATAGCCACTGTTAGCAATTTCAGTTGATAACAACGCTCTATGTGGCATTTTGCACATACAGACGGCATAGCAACACGCCCACGGATAAAAATTGAACAGTACTATGGGTATGGCTGACCTAATGTAAAACAAATAAGATAGAATTGCTATAAACAGTACTTTAGCAGTGTCTACTCAC